AAACGCGGAGCCAAATTAGGGGCTTACTTTTGGCAATTATGCAGGTCCTTTTCACATATGTCTCTGTTTTAACAATCCGTGCTCAACTGTCCTAGCCTACATTTCTCATCTCCCCAGTGTCTTAACTCCATCACCCTCCCCTTTCTAGTGCTCTGTCCTTGTGGACGTGTGGTAGGCGTCTGGGCTGTTCACCAACAGCAAGTCTTATCGGCTTCTGGACTCGTAGGAGGAATGTACGTCCTGTGTCCTTGAAGTTGGGTGTGGCCATATGACTTCATTTGGTCAATGAAACATGTGAAGGTGACGTGTTACTTCCAGGTGGGGGCCAATTAATTGCTGGTGCTTCACTCTTCTGCCCTTTCTCCCCCTTCCTGGGAGGTTCTGGGAGTAGGCGCTGACAAAGAGGGGCTATGAATAAGAGAAGCCCGGAGCACGGGGCCACCCAGGAGACTGCTGTCCGGGGGAGTCACCATGCCATGGCAGGCTTTGTGTGTACGAAGTAAACGCTTGTGTTAAGCTACTAAGATGTGGGGGGGGGGGTCACCTGAGACCTACCGTGGTCATATTATATGCAAAAGTCCTCAAATCCTTTTTGGACAGAAGCTGAATTATAAGTACACAGGCAAACACAGAAAGCCCCAACAAAAGCCTATTTGAGAGAAAAGATATTTACAAAAGGGTCCTTTACCAGCTTCACTCTCAATCTGCTTCTCCGAGCAGAACTGAACATTTATTCTTGCCTCAAGTCCGATCGCCAGTCTCTTTCGAGATCAGCATCCCTAAATGTGTCCTATATCTGCTCCAACTTTTTAAATCATGGTAAAATATACCAGATATTTACCATTTTAATCATTCATAAGTGTACGAGTCAATGGCATTAAATACATGCACACTGTCATATAACCGTGAGTACTATATACACCAAAAACTTACTTTATTGTTCCCTCGAAGATTCCCTACCCATTAAACAAAGCTCTTTTTCCCCCCAGTCCCCTGGTAACCTCTGTTCTACTTCCCATCCCTAAGGAATTTGCTTATTCCAGGTACCTCATATAAGTGGAATTATGTAATATTTGTCCTTCTGTGACTGGCTTATTTCATTATGTATAATGTCTTCAAGATCTATCGTCCATGTTGTAGGATATGTCAACATTTTGTTCCTTTTTATGTTTGGATATCATTCCATTGTATGTACGTACCACATTTTTTTTTATCCATTCACATGTTGATAAACACTTGGGTTGTTTCCACCATTTGGATACTGTGATAATGCCGCTCTGAACACGGCTGCACAAGTACCTGTTGGAGCCGCTGCTTTCAAGTCTTCGCAATACACACCCGAGGAAAGGAACCGCTGGGTCATGTGGTAATTCCGTGTTTAGCCTTTTGAGAAACTGCCAAACTGCTTTCCACTCTTCTCTGACTTTTTAAGTCAAAGGTCTCCATTAGACAGCAGTTACGTGAAATCCTCAATTGAATTTTCCAAGAAGATGCTGTGTCTGAACATCGCCCACTGTCCTATGCCATGTTTTCTACATAAGATCCCCAGGGGGAACCTTTTCTCTGAGAAGGGTTCCAGGGAGGGCCGTGACTCTACTGCGGCGCTTGCGCCCGGACTCAGCGCGCTCCTGGTCGCCGTGCCTCCCGGGCCCACACTGCTCTGAGCCCCCTTCATCGCGGCCTGTCACACAGGCCTGACTTCACACGGCCAGTGCCTGCATCTTTGTCACTGCGACACCCTTGGGCTGTCCATGAAAAATCGGGCCTGGGAGTTAGAGGCTGCGCTTCGCTGCCTTGCGCCCAGCTTCTAACCAATCGCTGACAGGTGTGGGCGTGCAAACCCCCAGCTTCCTCGCCTGGAGTCACTCTGGGTCATGAGTTTTGCGCTGCTTTCAAGCTTCCACTTGGGATTAAGTACAGATATACCTTGTTCTTGTTCCACTTTTTTGTGCTTCACAGGTGTTTTGTGTTTTTTGTTTGTTTGTTTGTTATTTGTTTTTTTTTTTTTTTACAAATGGAACGTAAGAACCTCTACCAGCTACAAAGGTTACAAACCTCTTTATTACGGTTGTCTGGGACCGAACCCGTAATACCCTGGAGGTCTGCCTGTACCAGCTGCCCACTGTGGTTCCTGCCTAACAGCAGACCTGTATGGACTGACTCCCTTCTCCACTGCCTGTGTCCCTTGCACCTGCCAATACATTGTACGCAAACTCTTGGCTCCAGGCCCACTTCCGATGAACCTAAACTGAGACAAAGCTCCTCTCTAGCACCTTCCCATATTTCTGTTCTTCTTTCCCCTGGTTCTGAAGTTTTACTTACATTTTAAAATTATTTTATGATATGCTTTCTTGTGGTGTTACCTCAAAGTCTTTGCAGAATAAAGGAGAGAGGGACTAATTTTCAGAAGTAAAACACCATCATCTAACTTTATGGTTAAAATACATGCTATAAATGGTGCATAGGGGGAAAAAATAGAAAGAAATGCACCAAAATGTTAACAATGGTTACCCTGGGGTGATATCAATTACAGATGGCTTAACTTCTTTCTTCTTTATACTTTAGTTTACAAAGACCATGAACTTCAGTTTCCTCATCTATAAAATGGAGATAATCATACCTACCTCATGGAGTTGCGTTGATTGAAATTAAGTGTGATTGTAATGCAGCAATTAGCACAGCATGTGCCTAATATGTACCCTAATAAAGGGTAGCAAGTGTATTATTACAACAGCAAGTAATGAAACAGTTTAAAAGGAAATGTTAGAAACGTAGACATAAGCCCATACCTATGTTGTGCTTTGTGCTTTTTAAAGAACATTCATTACATGAGCTCTCACACAAGGACTCTGCAAAAGGGGCAGGCTTAGGGGGCGGGGTGGGCAAGGGACAGGACTGGTATTTATTGCGCAGCTGCAGTGTGCCACATACCAAGGTGAGCACTTTGTAGACACCTCAGATGAGAAGGGCGGGGCTCGCAACCATTAAGACACCTGCCCAGGCTACAGGGGCAGGGCCGACGGCTCCAGCCCGCAGACTCTCGGTCCTGGCTTCCTTCTATTCCACCAGGCTACATTATGACGTTTGTGCCCCTTACATGCCCACCCATCCAAGACATTCTCCGTTCCTACGGCATGGATGTTCACATCTATGCACACACTCTGCTCCCTCCTACCTTCGTGTCCGAGGGGAGTCCCAAGGGGTGGCATGTGGTCCTAGGGCGAAGATTTAGCCCCCAATCGCGGTCGCAACCATCCCACGTAACTATTTGACGTAAATAAGAACTCTGTAGCACTTGCTATGTACACATAGCAGGTTCAAGGGGCGTTCCACCCCAACACCTGCCCATCAGTTTGCTCACCCAAGTCCTCCCTACGCAAAAATTCTGGGACTGTCTCCTGAGACACGGAGGTGACACAATGCAAGACGTGGGGAATTCTGCTAAGAGAATTCTGCCAGGAGAGAATCGTGGAAGGCGTTACTCCTCCTTGACCCCCTCAAGGCCAGCGTTGGGGACATCCGGGAGAAAGCTGACAGTGTTCCTTGCCAGATACCCAGTCACCGTGGTGTCTCAATGATCTGCGGATGGGCAGGGCCATCTGGGATGGGAGGGGATATGTGAGGGTGGGGTCGTGGGCCAGGCCCTTTAGGACAGAGCGCTCCAGACGCAGCCGTGTGTCCCTGACCACACAGTCCTCTCCGCCCCGCCCCCACTCCCCGCCTGCAGCCCTGTGCTTCCAGGCTAACCTTGGGGAATCCTCCCCGACTAACCAGGCCCGAGGCGGACCTCTATCATACTGTGTGCTCCTTCTCCCGGCAGAATGTCTACCTGAGACTACCGTGCGTGGGAGCTTCAGGGAAGTTCGCCTCATCACCTGCCTTCCTGACTAGCTCTCTCGCTAGCACCGGCTGGGGGCCACAGGGGCAGAGCACCCTGGGCCACTGGCCACTGTGAGCCTTGTTGCTGTTCCTGGCCCTGGCAGCGGGCGCCACTCCCATGCAGCAACGTCTTTCAAAGCCCCCTCCTCTGCGCCAGCTTTCTTCTTTCTTCAAAATTTCCACAGCATCTTCCCCAATCCCCTTATAACTCGATTATGTTTCAAGGGTGAACAATCTTTAGGGGTATGGTGCAAAGACACCCAACTTTTTCCACCTGCTGGGAATAAAGGCATAACTGACCACAGCCTTGAATGACACACTCGTGCTCAAAAACTTTCAGTGGCTCCCAACTGTGTCTAGATCCGTTCCAGTTCCTTAAACCAGCAGTGAAGGCCCCCCTCCGCCCCATTAGCCAGGAGGCCGTCTTCGTAGCCTACTCTGCAGGCCAAGTTCACCGTGTCCCTGAATGCATTTTCTTCTTCCTCCAGAATGCAAAACCCAAATCACACCTAACCCAGAGGATTCAGCCCTCCCCCTTCCTTCCAGGGAGGCAACAGTTTTCACCCTCATTAGCATCTTGCCTGACTTTCAGTCTGGTATTCAACCTGATTTTCTTTGTAAGCTTGGAGTCAAGGGCTGAGTCTTTTTAAATTTGTGCCCCACCCCCTCTGCCCAGTGCCCTGCGCGCGGTACAACCTCCGTAAAGGTTTGTATAGGTTCCTCTCGCAATGTGTCAGCTTTCCCCCTACAGTTCCACGAACTCAAGCAATGTCTCCTAATCTAGACTAAAAAATCTCCCACGGCAGTGTCTCCAATTTAAGGATCACTCGAGTCCGCTGGGGACACAGATCCTGACTCAGGAGGTCGGAGGAGGGGCTGAGACGTTGCGCCGGAACAAGCTCCAGGTGAGGCTAATGCATTCCATTTAGAGAAGCCCGAAAGCGATAGCACCTGTGGGTCAGGCAGCAGCTCACACCTGCGCAGCCGGCTGAGCGGTAGATGAACGCAAGGTTGAGAAGCGCGGCCCTTCCCTTGGAAGCGGCCCTCCCCTTGGAAGCGCCCCTCCAGGAAAATGCCAGCGAGTCTTCCCGCCCCTCCGCCCCCCGGTGCGGCTCACGTACCTATGGTGGACACCACGGTGCCCACGAAGTAGAAGGCGCCGGTGAAGTCCCAGCGCGGACGGGTGTTGTCCACGCGGATGCCGGCCTCAGTGGCCTCCTCGTAGTGGCGGAGGAAACCTCGCAGCTCCTCGCGACTCAGGTTGTGGCGGCGGCTGAAGTTAGCCAAGCGCTCCTCCCAGCGCTGCTTGGCCTGGCGCTCGTGCGCCAGCTCCAGCGCCGAGAAGACGGCGGCACCGCCCAGCAGGTAGAGCACGATGAGCGCGGCGAGCAGCAGGAAGCGCGCGTTGTCCTCGTTCAGATGGCCCGGGCCGCAGCTGCAGCCGCAACCCCGGCAGGCCATGGCCGGGCCCCGGGGAGCCCCGCGCCGGACGGCCGAGACCGCGGGCGCACTCTCGCCCGGGCCCCCGCAGGTCGGGGCTCAGCCGAGCGCTCGGCCCGTCTCCGGCCGCGCGACGGCCGGCTCGCCCATGCCCGCTGAGCGCTTTCCCCGGCGCCGCGGCTCCCTGGGCCGCCGCTGCGGCTGCTCCGGTGGAGCCAACTCCTCACGTCCGCCCGGACTCCTGGTTTCAAATCCGGTTTCTCGCCGCCGTTGAGTTCTCCTAAATGTCGAAGGTCCGAGAGACAAGGTGCCGAGCCCGCTTCTGCTTGGCACGAGGATGCGCTGTTTCTGCCCCGGCGCCTGGTGCGGCTCAGATTGGGGCGGGGGCGCGGCACGTCTTCAGCGCACACTCCGGCGGAGGTGAACAGCCCCCGGAGCGGGGGTCGGGGGGCTTCGGGGGCTGGAGGGAGGGGAGAGCCCTGCGGCCTCTGTCTCTTTGACCATCGCCTCTCAAGCCGACATCTAGGACGCACGGTCTCAGTCGGCTGGCTTTGCAGGCAGATCGGCGGTGCTGCGTGCCGGTCGCGGCGTCGCTCGGACGCTCAGGCCCCTCGGGTCATCGGTCCGGCTGCCCGGCTGGAACGGGTCCCCGGCGGGCGCACCGACAGAGGGAGCGTGCAGAGTGGCGTTCACCGGACGCGCGGCTGGAGGAGGAGACCAGAAATGGAATGAGGGAGCGAAAGAAGTTAGGGGAGGCTCCCCCAGGCACCCTCCCGCGCCTGGCCCCGGGCCAGAACGCCCTTGGCCTCTGAATCCTGCGCGGGAGCGTCTTCGACCCGCACGTGTCCGCTCCGCGGGAGCGAAGCTGGCGCCGCCAGACAGCGCCAGATCCCGAGAGGCTGCCAAAGGCCGGGGCCGGAGGGACCCCACAGCCAGGAGACCGTGATCCCAGAAAGTGCCATCTCCTCTGCTCGGACTGGGCTGCCTCCAGACATTTTGCGCCCACCGGGCTTCGCTCGAAGTGCTGCCCTCTCCCCATGCAGACCAGCGGCAAGACCGCCACCCCCTGCCCCTGCCCGGCGAACCGCTAGGGGCCTCTCCCCGAGACCCCGCCTTTCAGAGGGCACGGAAGCCGTGGCCCCGCTCGAGTCTCACCTCCCGAGGAGAGCCCTCTGCTGCTCTTTGGCGGCGCTGTCGCCAGGTCTCCTCCTCGCCGCAGCCGAACCCTGCAGAGCGGCGCGGGGGAGCAGAGGTGCACGCCCGAGCTCTGCTGTGCTCTCCCTGTGCGCTCCGACGCTGCAACAGGTGGAGCTGCGCGGCCGCCCGCGCCAGCGGCTCCACCCTGTCTCCTGCCGCCCGGCCGCGCGGGGCCGCCCCAGCGCTAGTCTCCGCCCGCGGATGCCCGGCTTTCGGAAGGCCCTCAGGGGGCCACGGCTCCCAGCCCAGGCGCACAGACCGGGGGAGTGGGTGCTGAAGAGGCGGGTCAAGTGCTTACCGGGCTGTGTGGGCGCCTCTTGGGCCAGAAGAGGGCGCTCCGTCCCTTTCAGACGCGCCTCGCCCGCACCTGTCTTCCCAGCCACATACTGCCCCTTGAACCACCAGCCCCTGGAATGTGGGAGTGATACACACAAGATATAGATACACACAGGAATGGATACGTGGGCATCTTCCAACTAATCAAAATTTCCCTGCCTCCCGGGAGAGTGGTTCCAGGCTCGAAGCCTACCCACCCACTTACACTCCCCAGGAACAGAGAAGAGAAAATACATAGTTCTGGATTCCAATATTCTGCCATCGGAAGTCCTGATGCTGCGGGTATTACTCTCAGTTCCGCAGTGCCCCCTTTTATATAGCCTTTTGGGGCAACGGCTTTGCGGGGGTGGCTATGGGGGCATGTGTGTCTCCTGGATAAGTCCTACTACTACTGCTCCCCACCATTTTATTAGGAAAAATTTAAAAGTTGTAAGAAATTTACAGTGAGCACCCATATACTCACCACCTCGATTCTAAATTTTACTATACGTGCTTTATTACGTATCTATCCCTCCCTCTTTCCATCCATCAACCCGTCTGGTTTAAATACATTCAAAGGAAGTTGAAGACATCAACCCACTCCCACCCTCCCCAATACTCCTCCCTACATATCACTAGAATTCGATATTTATTCACAGATTTTTTTTCTTTGGGGATAACATTTACATCCAGTGAAGTAAGAAAATCTAAAGTGAACCATTAGAAGAATTCGGACAAATGTATACAGCTTTGCATATTAAACACTTACCAATCCATCGTATCAACCTGTTCTTAATTTTTTCTACCACTGGTTCGTTTTGCCTTTATAGAACTTAGTTTTGCCTGTTCCCGATCTTCATATAAATGTAAGCGTACAGGTGTGAACATGTTTGTGTAAAACATTGTTTTTAACATCTGTCCATGTTATGCCTTAGAATAATTTGACCCTTTTTGCCCTCTAGGGTTTTTTTGAACTGTTTGAATATACGATAGGTGTATTCATTTTCCTATTGACGGAAACCAGGGCTCTCAGAAATTTTTTCGCTCTTCTAAGTAAAATTGCTAGGAGCCTTCTTGTATAAGCAGTTGTGGTTGTTTTTGTGTCTCTTGGGTAAATACCTAAGAAATTCTTGGGTAGAATTTACAAATTGCTGAGTGGAATTGCTGAGTCATAGGGCAGATGTGTATTTAATTTTTATAAGAAAGTGCCTAATATTTTTTTAAAGTAGCTGTACCAACCAACAACGTGCAATAGTTCTTGATGATCCATGTCTTGTGAACATTTGGCAGTATAAGTCATTTTGATTTTAATCATACTGATGGATGTGTAGTGGTATCTCATTGTTTTAGTTTACATTTCCCTGATAACTAATGTGCTTGTTGGCCATTTGTATATCTGCCTTTGTAAATGACCTGTTGATATATTTTACCCATTAGAAAAATTGTTTTTTATTTTGTATTATTGGATTACAGGGATCCTTTATATAACCAAACCAGTTCTTTCTCAGATACCTATCTTGCAAATATTTTTCTACCAGCCACTGCCTTGCCTGTTCATTTTCTTCAAGATGTTTTCTGATGGATGTTTTTAATTTTGGTGAAGCTCAATATATTAATCTCTTATGTTCAGTGTTCTTTGTGTCCTAAGAAATCATTATTTCCCTCTAGGTTGCATGTATTTTCCCCCCCTAGACATTCTATAATTTTAGCTTTTATTTTTGTGTCTACACGCCATTTTAAGTTTATGTTTCTATATAGTGTGAGAAAAGAGTCAAGGTTCATTTTGTCCATGTGGACCTCCAGTTATTCCAGTGCCATTTGCTGAAAAGACAAATGAGGGTGAATTTATTTCAGGAACCTGTACCTTGACCATTATTCATCCTTCCTTATGCCAATACCACAGTATTTAGATCACCTGTAGCTTTATAGGTCTTGAAGTCAGGAAGTGTGAGTCTCTGATTTTTGCTCCTTATTACGATTTTCATTAACTATTACAAGACCTTTAACTTTTTGTAAAAATTGTAGAATGTTAATTTCATCTGGAAAAACCTTGAAGAATCTTTAAAAAAATTAGTTATTGATTTAGAGAGGAAGAGAAATGGAGAGAGAGAGAGAGACCGACATAGATTTTGTTCCACTTATGCATGTGTTCATTGGTTGATTCTTGTATGTGCCCTGACCGGAAATCGAACTGGAAATCGAACTGCAGCCTTGGCACAATGGGACAGCACTCCAACCAACTGAGGCCTTGTGGGATCTTTTTTAAATTTAATTTTTTAAATCCTTACTGGAGAACATTTTTTCATTGCTTTTAGCGAGAGAGAGAGAGAAAGGGAAAGGGAGAGGGAGAGACATGGATATGAGAAACATTGGTTGCCTTCTCGTAGGTACCCCGACTGGGGATTAAACCCACAACCTGAGCATGTGCCCTGACCTGGAATCAAACCTGTGACCTTTTGGTCTATGTAATGATGCTCCAACCAACTGAGCCACACCAACCAGGGCACCTTGTGGGATCTTGATTAGGATTGTGCTGAATCTATTTTGGGAAGAACTGACATCTTAATTTGTGAATAAGGTATATCTCTCCATTTACTTCAGTCTTCTTAGGAAGTTTTCATGTAGAGACCTTGCACATCTTTTTCAAGTTTTTTTTTGATGTTATTGTAAATATGTTCCAATTGTTTGCTGTAGTGTATAAAAATATGAATAATTTCTGCAAATTAACTTGGTTTCTACAACCTTGCTAAATTCACTCATTAGTTGTAGTAGTTGATTCCTTTAGGATTTTCTGGTAAATAGTCATATCATCTTAAATAGAGGTTTGTTTCTTCCTTTCTGATATTTATCTTTTTTTTCCCTTGACTCACTGCAAAAGCTAGGACCCCAGGATAATCTTGAATAGAAGAAGTGGAAGCAGATATGCCTGTCTTCTTTATGATCTTAGGGGAAAGCCTTTAGTTTTTCAACATTAAATATGATGTTAACTGTAGGTGTTTCATTGATACCCTTTACCAGGTGAAGAAGTTTCCTTTTGTTTCTAGTTTTCTGAGGTTTTTCTTTTAAAAAATAAAACAGGAGTACTGAATTTTGTCAAGTGTTTTTTTCTGCATGTAATGCAATAGTCATATAGTGTTTCCCTTTATTCTGTTAATCTGTTAAATTTCATTGATTGCTTTTCTAGTGTTACACCTTCCTTGCATTTTTGGGATAAAATCCACTTGATATTTCTGCTCTTATTTTCATTCTACTTCGTTCTGGGTTTACTTTTTTGAGCTTCTTACAGTAGACACATCACTGATTTTAGACCTCTCTTCTCTAGTGTTAACATTTTAAAGCTATAAATTTCCATTAGTCCTGTGCTAGTTGCATCCTAAAAATTTTGGTGTGTATTTTCATATTGTTTTGTTCAAAATATTTGTTTTTTGTTCCTTTATTCTTCCTTTCCCATCTTCTTTTGGATTTACTGAAAATTTTTTAGAATTCCACTTTATTGACTTTTTAGCTCT